TACTCGACATGTTAATGTTCTTTGAACTGTGTTGCTGTTTTTCTACATTTGTCACTTTTGTTTATTTATTCTTCTGCTCCTATAAAGAGTTGTGAAATTTTGAGTTTGAAAAGTCTTGTATAAAGTTGTCATTACTGTCACGTCCTGTCTTTGGGGACTAGTCTGTTCTTCTGTTTCTCTTTCTGACAGCAGGATTACTTTGAGAGATGAAAATAGAAAAATAGAAGAACTTCAGTTTTGTTGTGTCTACTTTAAGATTGTGAGATTAAGGATCGGCCTTGACAGAGTAACCTCTTAAAGAGTCTAACTAATCCTGGGATTTAAAGAAAGTCTCTCCTCATCCTGTTTCTAAATTTAATCTAAAGTGTTTTCTTATTAAACTCAACAACGTTCTGGTTATCCCCACTGATTTGTTTATACACCTCAAAGATCGTATCTTTGTGAAAGTAAATCAGACTTAAGATAACTCATTAAAAAAACTTTTTGTAAATAATAAATTTATTTATAAAGAATATAAATGAAAGATAACTGTACAAAGTAAATACTTGTACGTTTTACTAAAAGTGTTGTGTTACAGTTTGAAAGCTATAAATAATATTATTGTCTTCAAACTGTTTGTCTTTGAATCAGCTGTTTTGCAGTGACTCTACTCTTATGTTATAAACAGCAGAGTTTTCATGTTTCTCTTCTTCTAACTGGATCATTCTTATGTGAACAGTTCCCAGTAAGCCCACTGTGACCCTGCAGCCACCCTGGACTCAGATATACAGCGGTGAGACAGTCAGTGTCAGTTGTGAGATTCAGGGAGGTGAAGGAGCTCAGTGGACGTATGAATGGAGACCTAACAAGTTAAACACACCTCCGACATCCAGTGAATACAGAATCATCACAGTTACTGAGTCTGACAGTGGAGGATACAGCTGCCGTGGCACAAGGACCTATATGTTAACAAAGTGGAGTGATATCATCACACTGTCTGTATCGTGTAAGTTGGAGATCTGTTTTATCAACATTAGTAAGTTATTAAGTTAAGTTAGTTATTAGTAAGTATTAATCTGTTTTCTTGCAGCTTTGTAGCTGTTTCATTTGTGCTGCTCAGTAAAATATTTTGAAAAGCAGCTTTTTATTCCCAGTGAAGAGAACAAAACATATCAGAGTAACTTCTCTGCTGTGCAGCTCTAATACATGAAGTGCAGAACAAATGCTGAACCTGTTTCAGCTGCTCCACCACATCCACTAAGAACAACAGTTACATCCAATATTTTCTCTTCTGTATTTGTATTTTTTTTT